GGTTGAAGGATGTTCCTGTAAAAATGCAGCTCTTTCATGGGGATTGGGATGAACTGAATCATTGATTGCAGCCATTTAAATGTTTTAAAATGTTAAATTTTTTATGATTGTTTTTAATGTTTTTTAAGAGCTGTGTAAATACAAATGGATCACAGATTTGTGGCGGTATATCTAATTGTCTCTTCAGGACAGATCCCATTTCTTAAAGAAAGTTGCAAGAAAATCCGGTATACAGGGTGAGTCAAAAGGCTCAGGACACCATTGTATTTCAAAAATGAAAGGGAAAATAAAATACCTAAATACCCCAGCTACTGATGAGAGACATGATTTTTCTTTTAGACTGTGGAACAAGACCGCCATCTTGAAAACAGCCATATTAGATCAATGTATTTTTTTCTTCCAATGGGAAGGTGGTCATTTAGTATATCAGAGGAAAGCAGAATTGTCTCAGAAACTGGTTACCTCAAACAGACTTACAATATTTCCTGTGGTTCAAAGGTTAGGAACACAGAAAGTTGCAACAATAACTGGGAACTTCACACAAACAGTCCAATGTATCGTTGCCTTTCTTTTAAGCAAAATGTTGCTTTAATGTCCTGTTCCTTTAGTTCAGCTGCATTGCTAATGCTAACATGTACATAAAGAGGAACAACAAGTGGAGATTTGATTACTGCTGTTTAGTTTTTCATTGTTTTTTCTCCATACCAGTGCTAAAGTTAGCATTTTCCTCTTCCACATTCAACATCTTTTTTTTATAAGATTTTGATCTCAAAACCACAGTTTCCAGCAATGCAAGTGCCCCTATTTTGTTAATATTACATTATATCACTGCTTTTTCCATCAGTATTATAATAATTGTTGAATGAAGCAGTCACTGTGGGTTCATACTGACTAGTAAAAATCAGACCCCTTTCACCCAAAATTTTCTTCAATCACTGTATATCAAAACATTAAATGTGAAATCCAATATAACTTAAAGTTTGACAGTTGCATTAATAACCTTTACACTGGATCAGACAGAAAAAAAGAGCTGACTAACCATGATGTGCCTAAAATGGGCCACATCTAAGCTGCAAAGACCCTCACTGCCCACTGCAAAGAGGCAGCATCTTTAGTTGTCGCTCCCCTCTGTCACACACAAACACACACTCTGAGTGATGTGCATGATGATGGTGTGAGAGCCACATCCTCATGACACTAGAATGTTGCACAGCCTCATTACGAGCTCGGCTGGCCAGCTCCGCTCGGATTTTAAGGCCAGCGGCCATCAACCAACTGTCACTTCGCTTCAACCGCAGCCCTGCTCTCTCTATGCTGGTGCCCTTTTTTATAGTTTGTGTGTGAATCTGTGTGTCAGGATGAACCAGAGATTGGAGCGTGAGAAGAGAGACAAGGCATCTTGTGTGAGGAGCAGAAAAGGCGGTGCAGATTTTCTGACTTTTAACGTGTCTTTGCAGAAAAATGTTCACTTTCTGGGTTATTATTGGTGAAACATAACTCTTATTAATTACCCTCCTTAATCGCAGACCTTTAGCTTAACTGATGCATTTTTTCATGCATTCGAGTTTGCTGAGTATGCTATTTATACACTTTACTCAACACTCGTACGTTTAAACTGTCAAATGATGCTAATTTAAGCCTGACGAATGTCTACAGAATTTATCCCAACAGTAATGTTTTCAGGAGTTCTCTGACAGCGACACTGTGTTGTGAAGCATGGTTCAGTTTTTATTTTGCTCCCGGACTATTTGTCATGTGACCCCTGGACACCATCATCATGTGACCTAGATTTACCAGTTTGAGTCATTGGTGGATGTGTCACCATCGACCTCAACATCTTGTCCGATCACGTGACTTGCATCCAGTAACCTGAACCACCCTGATACCACTGAACTCTTACTGGCCTTTTGGCCAACCTCCTGAGGGATGATGCGCACTGCAAGGACACAATTACACAGATGGATCATAAAGCACAGTAATGTGCACTCACTCACCACACATTGTACTGGGGGGGCAGCCAAGGACTTTGTCAATTCTTTTTATCCAAGCATGTTTCCAGGGTTTTCCATTCCTGCTCGTTTCTTTCATCTTCTTTTTTTCCTCTTTGCCCTCCCTTTCCCCTGATTTACCACTGCTGTTCAGGTCCAGCTCTGTCACTGAGAGGGGGAAGAATCCAGGCAACATATACACACACAGACACACACACAAAGAGAGCTCTGAAAATACACCCAGAAACAGCTGGCGACAAAGTCTATAATGCAATTGCACGTTAAAATCTATACAAGGAAACACAGTCGACATCCTCGACAGTGCTCACGCACCCCCGACATTGGTCCACATAGACCCACGGCTGATCTGTCTACAGCTGGACGAAGGCTGTAGCGCTGTGTTGTAGCTGGTTTAAGTTGGAGAAGGTGGTTTCTAACAGTGCCTTTATGACATTATAGCTCATTGCACCTTTAGTCAGTCAAGGAAGCAAAAACAAACAATGCATCTTGCCTCCATTTCAGACATCCTCCATACCAATGGTGATCAAAGTTCTCTAGTTTACTCTGGGTCGTGAAAAACGGAAGTCAAAACAGGTACATTTGGATCTGGAGGGCTGGTTAATCTCTTCAGGCAGTGATGCAGAGAATCTGTTAGAGAAGACGAAACACGTCAGTCTCCCACTTATTTGTGTGTTCCACATCAAAATCTCATTTTTGGACTCTTCCTAAGGGGTTACACAGTTGTCCAAAAAAAAGTCCTCCAGGAAGCCAAGCCTGCACTTTTAAGGTATTGTGAGAATTTGCTGTGAGCATCCCTTTGGTTGATGTGAGTTGTCTGTTCAGAGAAACAAAATCCTTCAGAATAGAAAATCAACTGTCCAAGCTTTCAGAAAAGGCCTGCCAGCATCAATATTTAACAGGATCCTCTTGGTGTGTTTCCATGTCCCCATTTTTTCTCACTTCAGTTCTTTTTTCTGTTTGGCTCTTAAATGTTGCATTGACTTGCCATCATTTGTACCCTTCGTCGTCATTTTTGGTCAACCGTCTTCAGTCATGCTTCCTCTCCCTCGTAGCAGGAGAAAAATCGCTCAAAGACAAGCTCGAGAAATTGTTCATTAAGCCAGCCCTCGTGACCTTTGCCACTCGGCGTCCAAAGTCCAGGTCCCCGCAGCAAAACCTTAATTTAACCTTCCCTCAGCTGGCGTCAGTCATCCTAAAATGCTTAACTTTCAAAACTCACCCTCTTCCTTTCTCCCTCTCCCCCCCAGCAGGCTGATTCACTCGGCCTATTTCCTGCTAACTGCTTGCCGGTGCGGCAGCCTCCGTCCTCATCCCGTCCTTTCGTCCAACGGCGAGCTCAGCTCTGGTCAAGTCCTCCTTGGCTTTTTCTCCACGTTCTCCTTGGTGTTCCTCTGGCTCCCTCCCTGCTGCTGCTCCTCTCGCATGCAGAATACAGTGTCTCTTCTCACTGCTGTGCTCTGAGTCATACCGCTCCCTCTCTCCTCCCTTTTCTTTCCAGAAGCTTGCAAATGTTCTTCCTTTTCTTTTTTTCCCCTCTTTTTCTTTTTTTGGTGCCTCCTTGCCTCTCCAGCAACCCGTCAGGATTCATTCAGCATTTCTTCCCATCCAGAGGAACGTCCCTGCATCCCACTAAAACAAACAGAAGGTTTGTGAATAGACAGTCAAAAGAAAATAAGTGATTTTTTTATAACAAAGACAAACGTTTGCCTTTGATTTACTTATTAATGACTTATTCTCTCCTCCTGTTAGTGAAGAAAGATCTTTTCACATGCCGTGGTCTCTGAAGCCTTTATATCCTGCAGCTGATTCATCAACTTGAGACAATCTGTGGAAAACAAAAAAAACCATGTCATAATAAATGTTCTCTGTGAGGAAAAAACAGAGGAACCAGAGAAGAAGGATGCGCATGGAAATAAAGAAACAGATGCCCTCAGGAAGTGTGGAAGTGACAGCAAAGGAGATACTAATGGAAAGAGGAGGCAGAGAGGAGGATGAAAAAAGGAGGGCAGAGGAGGGAGCTTGTGTGCAGGTGGGACGGAGAGAAGATTGTGGGTGAGTTAAAGCATGCTGCTGGGTGAAGGAAGGGGAGCGTGTGTAGAAACATGGATGGGAGGAGAGGGTGTGGACGGATGAGTGGTTTGGCAGGTTGATTGCTCTCTTCTCCAGATGTTTCATGCAGATGTCTTAAAAAGGTATTTTTTTTAACAAAAGATATCCTTCATTAAATGTTTAATTCCTGATCTATCTGGTGCTTTATGTGCTGTAATCATTCGCATTACATCCTGTCTGCTGCAACCTCAGCCTGCTCTCATTAAACCTCAGTATCCCTCATCCTTTCCTCCACCTCCTCCCTGTCTCTCCCATTCTTTACCCTCCGTGCTGCTTTTCTCTCTATGTGTCCTCCTCTGCTTGTCTAACACTCCTCCCTCCTCCCTCCCCACACACTTTCTGTCTCAGCTTTCCCCCCATATTTCATCAGCACCTCTCCACCTCCTTCACATTTGTTGTCCTATAACGCTTCCCCGCCACCTCCCCTCGCTCTCAGTGAGAAGCTTCCAGAACACGGTGGACGGACTCATGGAGAAGAAAGCCCGAACGCCACACAGCAGGAATTGTAAACATGCAGCTATATTTTTACCTATATATGTGTGCACGGGGAGACAGCTTATGCACAGACTCTTTCTCCATCCGTCTGGCTGGTGAAAAAMGAAAACCAAGACATCCTGCTGAAAAATGTAGCAGGGGAGTTTGTGATGCTTATTTGTCCCTGGGTAACATCTGTACAGCAGCCACACACACTCTAACACAGCAAGGAGAGAGTTTGGTCCATGAAATATTGAACAGAAATCATATTTAGCTCACATTCACACAACTGCAGAGCTATTATTACATATATTTCCAGGGATTCTGTGTAGATTTCATCTAAATGTCTCATTTTCTTTTATTTTTCAGCTAGCACTATATTAAAAAAATAGGACTTCATTAAATATAAAAGAATGAAGAAGCATTTTGGACCATCCTTATCCACAAAACTGTCTCTACTTATTCTTCCTATAACGTTTTAATTGTACAACTCATAAATTGTGATTTATTCATCCTAAAACTTAATTTTATTTGGGTTATTACTGTATTGCACTGCTGTACCCCACACCTTTAAGCCTCAGGTCACAAAATGCTGTTTTATAAAACATTCTGTGACTCACTGATGAAAAACGATTCTTAAATAATGTGAACCCAAACAAGCGATTGACAGCTGGCGCCCCCCGGTCCATTTCTGGTCCACAAGTTTGCTTCATTGGATCTGCTGTCACGATTTGTGTCTTTTTCCTTTAGCTTTAGTGTTTCTGTGTTCCTCTTTGTATCTCTGCCCTGCTGTCTTGCCTCCAGCCCCGCCTCTGCTCACCTGTTTCCTCTTGTGTCTCCTCCAGGTGTTTCTCGTTGTCTCTAATTAGTTTCCCTTTATGTTTTGGTGTCTTGTCCTCAGTCTGGTGTTTGATCATCGTGCTGTTACCAGACAGTGTGGTGTTCTCTGTGTTCCTCATGTTCCCCTGAGATTTTGTAAGAAATTTTGAGTTGCCTCRCCAGCCTTTTTTGTATTAAAGCCTTTTTTTTTTACATTTTGGATTTTGCCTGTGCCCTGGGTTTTTCTGTCTTTAAGCATCACATCTGCAAAGTAATCAACAGCACAGAACATCGCAAAGACACTGGCAAATGTGTTTTCTTAAAAAAGCTTTGCTAACGATCTGCTCTAAATATCTGGAAAATAACTCATTAACAGATTTTAATGAAGCTCTCATAAAGTAACCATTGGATCTGCAACTGATGAACTTTTGAAGTCAACTCATTTCCAGATGATTGCCACAGTTGACTAAATAACTTCCATTCTGTTTTAATATAGGTTATTTCAGGATTTGAATGCTTTTATTCAACAATGTAAAAAACTAAGTTTTACATATATGAAAATGAAAGATGATGTAACAGCTTTTGGGTGTAAATAAAACCAAATCTCTTGTAACTTTGTTGTAAAGTTTGCCTTTCCATGTTTTTGTCCTGAGAAGTGAAGTCAGCAAAAAGGAGAATTACACAGAGAAATCAATACTCTTCATAAGAAGAATAAAGTCTTCATGGTTCTGTTCCTTGTTTCTTTTTGTAGGTCAGTGAAGACATGTCATGAATTTATTTTCAGTCTAGCTGGGATCAGGAATATCACTCGTCTTAAGCCGATGCAGCTCTATTAGAGATAATTAATGTCACAGTTAAATCATCTGCTGACAAAGACCATCCTTTGCTGCTCTTTGCTGTTGTCTCTTTTATTCCGTGCCTGCCTTAAATTGGCTTCCTGTGTTTGAATTTATCAATTCTGACATCACTTATCTCAAACCTTCACGACTAAACTAAAAATAGCTGGGGATCATTGTGTTAAAGGTAAAAACAAGTTTGAATGCATGTAAGAGTAAAACTAAAACTGTAAAATAAATGTACAGGCTTGTATTTAATTAGAAACACAGGTGCACTTTTTACCCTCCTGTAAATCTGGGTCACCTAACTGTGGAAGAACTGCACAAGGATCTGTAGCTCCCCTAGATGGTTGCATAAATATGGGAATCAAAATGATCCAGCTGTAAAACACACATTTAGCTCCAGCTAATGGTGTATTTCTAGTAATTCAACATAACAGAATTGTATATGCATATGATGCATGATATGCAAACACTAAACATACAGTAACCTCATAAAGGACGTTAAAAATGTAAATTCATTTATTTAGTCCAGTGCAATATTGGGGACTAAGCAATACAGGTTAGTTGTTCAGAAGGTTTTTGACTTGAGGAAAAAATGTTCTTCATATCTGGTCTGCAGACTTCTGTATTTCAAGCTAGAAGAGAGGTCTTATGGATCTTTGCTCCATATTTCCTAACAGAGCACTTCTCTCTCAGACTGCAGGTTTACTTTCCTCGAGTTTCTAAAAGTAGAATGGGAGGCAGAGCTTTCAGTTATCAAGCTCTTCTCTCATGGAAATAACTTCCAGTTTCTGTTAATGATGATGATACTTTGTCTACTTTTACGACTAGACTTAAGACTTTCCTTTTTAGATAAATCTAATTAGGGTTGATTTCCTGAGTTGTCCCTTAGTTCTGCTGCTGCAGGCTTAGACTGCTGTGGGACAAATTGACCACATTTCCTCACTCTGCTGCTGTCTTTAGTTTAATTACAACACACATGTAGAGGAGAGTGACTAAGTGTTGTTGTAATTATTTCTATTAATAGGTTTTTTTTTCTGCCTGTCTTCTGGAGGAAAATACACCTGGACCAGTCATTCTGGGGTTTTTTTCCCCTGTGTCTCTTTCCTGTTTGATTCAGCTTCACTTCCTGATTGTGACTGTGATGTCATGTATTGCCTGTAAATTATATACTAAACTGACATCAAAGATAGCTAAGAAGGAACATGCTGTAAATACAGTGCACTTGATGTATGCATTTCAGGTTGATTTGATTTTTGTTGGTAATGCTGACGTCCCTAACATCATGGCTTCATTTTGTTTTGCATGACTGTGTTACTTCTATGAGGCAATGCTCTGTTAAAGTTGGAACTGGGCCTAAAACCAACAGCTTGTGTGTGTGTGTGTGTGTGTGTGTGTGTGTGTGTGTGTGTGTGTGTGTGTGTGTGTGTGTGTGTCTCTCTGTAGGAGCTCCTGAAGCAGATGAACCAAATGTCCATCCGTCCCAACCTGCTGACCTTCAACAGTCTTTTTAAAACTCTGAAACGCTGTGGAAAACTGTCCACAATCTACGCTCCACTCGCTCTGAACGAGATGAAGGCTCTGGGGATTGGTATGGATGAGTTGATTGGCTCTGCTGCACTGTTTGTATGTTTGTTTGTTTGTTGGTTTGCTTGTTTGTTTGTTTGTTGGTTTGCTTGCTTGTTTGTTTGTTTGTTTGTTGGTTTGCTTGTTTATTTGTTTTGTTTGCTTGTTTGTTTGTTGGTTGGTTTGTTGGTTAGGTTTGTTTGTTGGTTTGTTGTATTTTTTTTTTGTTTGTTGGTTTGTTTGTTTGCTTGCTTGTTTGTATGTTGGTTGGTTTGTTGGTTAGGTTTGTTTGTTGGTTTGTTGTATTTTTTTTTGTTTGTTGGTTTGTTTGTTTGCTTGCTTGTTTGTATGTTGGTTGGTTTGTTTGTTTGCTTGTTTGTTTGTTGGCTGGTTTGTTGGTTTGCTTGTTTGTTTTTTGGTTTGTTTGTGTCTTGGTTTGTTGGTTAGGTTTGTTTGTTGGTTTGTTGTATTTTTTTGTTTGTTGGTTTGTTTGTTTGCTTGCTTGTTTGTATGTTGGTTGGTTTGTTTGTTTGCTTGTTTGTCTGTTTGCTTGTTTGTTTGATTGCTTGCTTGCTTGTTTGTTTGTTTGCTTGTTTGCTTTTTTGTTGGTTGGTTGGTTTGTTTGGTTTGTTTGTTGGTTTATTGTTTGTTTGTTTGTTTGTTAGCTTGTTTGTTGGTTTGTTTATGGTTGGTTTGTTGGTTGGTTGGTTGGTTTGTTTGTTTTTTTGTTTGTTTGTTGGCTTGTTTATTGGTTGGTTTGTTTGTTTGTTGGTTGGTTCGTTTGTTTGTTTGTTGCCTTGTGTATTGGTGGGTTTGTTGGTTGGTTGGTTGGTTTGTTTGTTTGCTTGTTTTTCTGTTTGTTTGATTGCTTACTTGCTTGTTTGTTTGCTTGTGTGTTTGTTTGTTTGTTGGTTGGTTGGTTTGTTAGTTTGGTTTGTTTTTTTGTTTGTTGGTTGGTTTGTTTTTTGGTTTGTTTATTGGTTGGTTGGTTGGTTTGTTGATTGGTTTGTTTTTTGTTTGTTTGCTGGCTTGTTTATTGGTTGGTTTGTTTGTTTGTTGGTTTGTTTGTTGGCTTGTGTATTGGTGGGTTTGTTTGTTGGTTGGTTGGGTTGTTTGTTTGTTGGTTTGATTTGTTGGTTTGTTCGTTGGTTTGGTTTGTGTATTGCAGGGTATCCGCGGGGTTGTAAAAAGTATTACAAGGTAGTAAATCAAATAAGCAAAAATTAAAGCCATTAAAAAACATTAAAAGGTAATAAACAACATCTGACGAGGTATTAATTTTTAAACAACTAGCACACTTTCGCTATGCTGGTATCTGATGCGCTGCGTGGGAAACAGATTTAACAAACATTTCTCTGGCCCAATCTGAGACGCAGCTTTAACTTTAGACAGGGCTATTAGCCAATCAGAAATAGTGTGGGGGCGGGACTTAAGTGTCTCTAGTAGCAGAAGTTGGAGCGGTGTTTAAATAAAACATATTTGTCAGGATGAGTCTGAAAAAGAACAGGAGACGATATCAAAGCTGGATGATTGTTAAAAGTCAGAAAAGATAAACAAGCAGAAGGATTACTGACTCCTCCCGCTGAGAGGAGTCATGTGTCGGTGGAGCAGACAGGTGCAGCAGGTGAGGAGATTAAAGTGATGATTTTATAAGAATGACCCGGGAGATAACATCAATCAACAGATGTGGGTTTACTGGTACAAACTGACACAAAACAGTTATATTAGTTTGAACAAAACAAAGTAAATTAAAGCTGTCTCAGATTTTTTTCATAGTTTTTCCACTAAACTCTCAGGGAGGGCATTCTCTATGAAGAAGTCAGTTTTATGTGTTTGTAGATAAANGTGTGTGTGTGTGTGTGTGTGTGTGTGTGTGTGTGTAAATTACTGAAACAGAAAACTGATTGAATCTTTTAACATCAACGTCCTTGATGCAGCTTTCAGAGGCTGGAAGATGATAAATGACTGCCTCCCTGTGGTAGGATGAGAAAATACTATTATCTTGGTATAAGTTCATTTGTTCAGGTTTTTTTTTATTAGTATCAAATTATAGAGAAATTTAATCAGAATCCAAATAGTTAATGTGTTTTGCTTTAGTTAGATGTTGCTAGTCTGAGCATATTTTTGTGACTCTCAKTTTACATCTAGAAACCATATTGCTATTCTGTCATTCGGAAGCATTTATTGTACTTCCTGTTGTGACCGAGAAAAGAGAACGGCACGAGTGAGAGACTAAAAATATCCTCAGTCATCATTCTTCATCTGATTACAGCACACAAAGAAAATAAAGAACATTTGAAAACAAAATTTTGCATCAAACTTTATTCATATCAGAGGCATCCTGCGCCCTTGTGATCCTTAAAACAATCGTTCAGATATTTTAAAATGGGGCTTTGTGAAATGTTACAATCAGTTAATATTTTTACTTGAATCAGATAAAAGAAATAGAATTTAATTCCGAGCAAAATGTCAAACTAATGGGGCTAAAAGGAAAGTGGATTGCTGGTCTTTAAAGACTGTTGGTCTTGGTCACYTCAGACATAGACTGACTTTTTCCAAACTTATGTAATTCAAAGAGTTATCTACAGGCTGAATATTAATTGTTTATAACCTTTAGACAAAACCCCATTTCAAAAGATCTTATGTAAGAGAAAATGTTTTACAATGGAACATTTTTATCTAATTTATTTTTCAAAATGTCCAGCATTTTCAACATAAAAATCAACTTAGGGCTACATTCAAATGGTTTAAACTGGTTTCAAATATCCTTCCAAAAAAGCAAACAAAAAAAAAACCTGACAGATGAAATACTAGGATAAAAATACAAGGTCTTGCCTTCATCAGAGTGTTTTAGTTTAGTTGTAAATACATTTTTTAAAGCTTTTAATGAAAATAGTTTAAAATGGAAGTACAATCACATTCACCTTCAGGTTGATGTTTAAACATTTAGTGGAAAAAGTCTACAAATACTGTTTTTTGTAACATTAGGATTTTTTTACATTTTAGTGCTTCTTAAGTTGCTTAATACTGAACTGATACAATGTAAACAAACTTTAAATTCAAAGACTCAAGTTTTTGTGTGACAAACACAAAAAAGTGTGTGTGTRGGGGGGTGGGACAAAGGAAAAATCTGCATTAAAAAAGCAAACACAGAGTCCCACAAATTGCAAATTCCTTTGAGACAACCGTGATCTGTTCTTTTCTTTGTTGTCAACCACAAATCACGCCAACATCCTCCTCGTGTGAACAGTTGTGTTTCCCCACCTGTGACCTCTTGCACTCCAGCAGAGATCTTTCCCCACCCTCACACTCCACATCGTCCAGCAGGATCTTGACTCTGCTGTCGGCCGATCCCAGCATGGCCCTCTTCATCACAGCCAGCACATTCGTGAAGCCGAGCTGTCGACACACGACCGAACCCGCTTTCCTGGTGAAAAGGTCATCGCACACCGTCCCCCACTCCCCTCGGATAAAGATCTCCACCCTGCCTCGATCTGACAAACCGTCGTCATTTACAAGTCGCACAGATCCGGCTGGCAGCCTTTTCCCTCCTCTTCCTCTCTTGGAACCTCGACCACTACCTCGGGGCCTCTTGTGTACTTGGTTACCCTCTCCAGCACTTTCCGGCTTCCTTCCAGGCATCCGTTTGTCTTCCCATGCTTTAGGAGCTGGTGTTTTCTGGAGCTTTGCAGATGTTAGGGTGGGCTTCAGGTTGAAATATGGCGCCCATGTTGTGGTTAACACTACAGGATGTTTACGATGGGATGGAGAAGTCACAACAGCCTGGGGCCGTTTCAGAGGCGAGGGTAGAGTTGGAGGAAGGGGCTGTGGAAAGTTTAAAGGTAGTGGGGTTGTACCAGTGACATAAGGTCTACTGTTTATCTTTGTTGCCGGTGTGGTGACAATCCTAGAGAAGGCTGCAGTCATGACGGTAGCACGGTAACCTGAGGGAGAGACAGAATCACCCTCTTTATATGAATAGAAAATAATGTTAAATGACCAGACATTTTTGAAGTGATGTAGTTATCAACAGTGAGCACCTTAAAGGCTATGATATGCGAAAAGTCCAATATAAAAGTGGGCAATCCTAGACCCCGAGGGTCGTTATCCTGCATGTTTCACCTGGTTTAAATGAATCGGTGAATAACAGGATTTGGCAGAACTTAGAGAGGTAATTCAGTCACAGAATCAGGTGTGTTGGAACAGAGAAACAGGTAAGACATGCATGACAGCAGTTCTCGAGGACCAGGATTGTCCAACCCTGGTAGCTAGCCAAACCATGGCCCATACAATTTTTCAGGATTATGAAACAATTATTTTATCATTGTGAAATAACACATTTGCAGATATTTAACCTCCACTTTTGCATTTGTTGCTGTTTTCTCAGCCAGTGTCCATGCTACTWTGTAGATGTACAAGTGCCGAGCATAGACCACTATATTCTGTTGGTGCTGAGGCTGCTGAATGTATTAGTTCACCTGATTTGTGCGTGTAGTAAATCCAAATGTTCACTCAACTCCTGGCAGACAAACTCATTTGTAGCACCAGCACCATCGGTATACACAAGACGTGATTTGATTGACAAAACGGCAACAAACTAAACAAATCAGTCATGTAGAGGCATAATAACATAGCATTTTTTTCACACCAGTGTCATTTTTGAGAAGAAGGTGTTTTATTTTACTGAAAAAGTATTTGATGTCACAGCTCATAAGGTCCAAACTACCAGAGGTGCATACTTGGAAAAAACTAACAAAGAAAAAGTAAATATACTTTAACAGAAAATGGTTTTGGTAAAAATTAAGTTCACTAATAAGAAAAGTTATTACGTAAAAGTCATAAACCTCTTGCAATAATCAGGAAAGTAAAAGTAATAGTACTTTTATACACACTATAACTCAGTTTAGTGAAACCAGTTGACGTAACTTAGTCAAGCAAATTCAACACTTCATTTTTTAGAGTGCATTAACAACTCATTTCATGATGAGTTCCAGTCATATTATAATTTGTGTTGTGTTACAAGGTGTTAAATTTTAGCAAAGTAAAATCTTCATTTTGTGTTTTGAATGTAACAAAATACAAGTAAAGATTGCAATAAAAAAACTGGTAAAATTACAAATCCTCAAAAAAATTATTTAGGTACTGTTACAAAGTAAATGTACTTTGTTACAACTCTGCCAACTATAACTACAACATCACAAAGAACCCAATTTAGCCCCCTTTTTTGTGTTGGAAAATACTTTTTCATGGTTTTATTTGGAGGGAAATGTATTCTTTGTGACTAAGATTATAACTGTAACTACTACAGTATGAAAAGCCCAACCTGTCTGTGAGCTAGTCTGTAAACAAGAGTTAGCTTGACTGTACAAAATGATGCTGCCATGTTGGCCTAACAGTATTTTTAATAACATTGTCATTATTAAAATAAGATGATTGTCTTTTTTTAAGGAATGCAAATTTTTAAATTTTTAGCAGATTTTTGTTGTCCAGTTTACAAAAACATGCTCAATGAATTACCTCATCAAAGTGAAAAGCAAGATTACAAATTTTCTCATTCTGTAAATGTGATGAGTTTAAATGTCAAGTCAATAGTTTCCTAGTCAAATGATTAATGTGTTAATTCAGTAACAAACAGGAAGTTGAATTTTATATCCCTGTAAGAAAATACGTGTTCAATAACGGCTGAAGTCAGGTGAAAACACAAGTGTTAAATAAAATGATCTGTGATAAGAAATAAATACCATACAACATCAGAATTCTGGAGTGGGGGTTTATTCAGCCATGAGCTGGCAAGTCAACCCACACACTGAAAGTCAAAACAGGAAGTCGGCCAATAAATACAGGATCTTCAATGCCCGAGTTCGCCCCTGCTGGCCTACAGCTGAATCACAGGCATTCCAACATACAGCCCTTAACTCTAATGTTAATACAGCTTCAATTATGTGTTGTTATATCCGGACATGTATCTACGCTATTTCAATTAACACAAGTAAGAAATATAACAAACATTATAAAGGTATTACAAAATAGAAAACCCTAACTCTGTGTTGTATTTAATCAGTACTAAACTATAAATTTCTTCATCCCTATCATGGACTACTAGTACTCGAACTGTGCTTTAAGCAGTAGTTTTGTAAAGAAGTGAAGAGAAAAGGACGTAGACACAAACACACAAGGATGATTGTCCGAGCTGAAGCTGATGCGGAAGAAACATTTATTCAAAATAAATAATGGTTGCTTTCATTTAAAGTAGTGCAAATAGCTGACAAGTAAAAAAATGTACCATTTGTCTGACGAGACACTTTTGAACCAGCCAAAGAATAATATGTTAGCAGGTTTGAAACATCGACTGATAGCCACATTACTTTTACTTAATCTGAACCTTACTCGTTATAAAATATTTCACTGATTATTGATACCCTTATTACTGTATTTAAATAAAATACATAATTGAGGCTCATCAACCCTGCAAATGTTAACAAAAAACATCCCAACCACAAATGCATTTACAATACGGTACTGCAATGCTAAACTACATGAATTACTGCTTGAACTAATGATAATTTAGCGTGAAAAGTAAAGATTTTCAGCCAGCTGAAACAAATACCAGCTATGACTCCAGATGAATGTGATCGTCATAGCTGTTTCATCCAGTTGTATTTCCCAGAATCACACAAGTATATTATCAAGTTTCCTGTTAAAGTGTTATAGTGTAAAGCAAGAACAGAGTGCAGAAAGCCAAGGAGTCAGTGTGGATGCTGGCGCCCTCTCCTCGTACAAAAGTGTGTGTCGCTGAACGCGTGTTAGTTCGATCAGACACATCAGTGCTTGTGCTAGGAGCAGAGTTTGGGAGGTCAGTAGAGCTAGTATAATAAGCAGGTGCACCAGTAGGCCTACCGGTCGATGCAGTTGTGGCGGGATGCGCCGTGCCCGTCTGGACAGCCGTTGGTTTTACGGTTGTGGCTGCGTTTGTTTTCATTGTGGCTTGAACGGCCGAGCTCGTTGTCTTGCTCGTCGTTTTTCTTGCTGCTGTTGTTGGCGATGCCGGCGGCCTTTTTCTCGTTGGTCTCGTTGGCATTGGGGGCTTTCTTATTATTATAGGCTTTCTTATTACCGGTATCTGTTTTTTTATWGTTGTAGCTTTAGCTGTGGTTTTTACAGTTGTTGTTGGAATGGGCGTCGTGGTGGGTTTCTTGTTGATGACAAACTCTGCAAACAAGAAAAGACACATAAAAACTCTCTTTTTTAACAATTTATCTAGTGTCTATGCATTTAGTTTCTAAAGCCAGGATTCTTAGTATTTTTTTAAACAATAATTGCTTTTCTTACCCTCTCTTGGGTGGAAATGAATGAGTTTTCCTTTTATCTTAACAGGTAGAGGTTTGATGCTACATTTTCCTGGCGGTGCTCGTCTGTGTGGTCAGAAGAAAAAGAAAATACACATCCAGTCAGTAATATGTGCATGTCCAAAAAGACTTTAATTTGTATCACTGCAAAGGAGAGCCGTAAAGGCAAATTTAATACCTGATATTAATTATTTTGATTCAAACTGACTAAAAAGAGAGTTATTAAGGAAGCAGCAGTTTTTACAGATATTATATTATATTATATTATATTATATTATATTATATTATATTATATTATATTATATTATATTATATTACACCTTTTTAGAGTATTATTGTTGTTGCTCTTTTTGTCATCAGGTAATTTCTTCTTGAATCCTACAATGTTAAATCTCATAATTAAACTAAAAAAGCCTGCTTTATCCACAATATTAAAAATTGTTATTTGTTTTAAGCTTTTGACAATATGTTTTAGATGCTTCCTGATGTTTGATCAGCAGCATCTAAAGTTCTGCACATCACAGCTGGTTACAAAAACATGAGCTCATTTTTTTTCTGTTGTCAGAGTGATGCTGTAAGAGGATTGCTACCTGGAAGGATCCACCATCTTATAGATGACTCCTGTTCTGGCTGTGGCACTTGCAACTCTAGTGGCTAAGAAATACAGTTCACCTAAAAGTGGTAGACATAGAAAAAAGTGGGAGTGAGACAATGTAAGCAGCAGGGAAAGGAGGATGCAAGGTTCAGATGATGGTAAGACAGAGAGACAAACAGACAAAACAAATCATGACATTTTTTGTAGTATGAATTTTTTTGCTTTATGTCTACTGACTGTGCAACAAATTGTCCCTCTGGGATAATAAAGATTCTTGAACTGGACAGATTTTAAAAATGGAGGAATGTGTTTATGGTAAAAAGGGATTTGTGCTTTGCTGTGACTAATACTTTCAGACAGCTCAACAAAAAGGAAAGTTGGAAAGACTACAAACACGTGTGCAACACTCATGAACTCATAAATCAGCAGCTAATAATTCAGACCAGATTTTGTTTACGCTGTGTACCCAACAGTACTGTGCAGGTCTGAGTACATCTAAACAAGCGATATGTGTGATGAGAAGATGAACGCATGCAGTCATCACCTGCTTCATCCTCAGCAAAGGAGATGATGTATCTGTAATAACTGTTGATGAGTTTAGGAAATCTGCAGGTCTGGTCTCGTCCCATACAGATCTCATTGTACTGCCATTCACCTGTTGCTGCGTCCTCCTTCAGAGACATCAGACGCCTGAACAGAAGGAAAGAAACTCATGAACAGTAGCACAGTTGTTTACATCCTTATACTAATAGTTCTTAATAATTAATATGAATAAGAACTCATATCAATAAAGTCCCAGTTTTTATTTATTTGTTTATTTTGAATGTAGGGTTTTATCTGTGCCATCTTGTAGATTAAGATGTCACGTTTCAAAGTAGGCCTGTGTCTTGGAGATGACTCTCCGCTATTATCACACCAAATTTCTGCAAAGTGTCTGTAAAATTGGCTGCGTTGTTTCAATTTTTGTGTTTGCTAAGGTTGACTAGCTGTGGCAGTCATCTTGAATCAGGTTCAGCATTTCATCACCACCATATTTCATTACCATTCAAATTGCATATCCAGCAAAATACGATAGAGACATCATCATCAT